ATATTGTAAAAGTTAACTATAACCGAATAAAAGGAGCCGGCCAAAAGGCCACCTTAACACCAAAAAAAAAAAAAAAAAATTAATATCATCTGTAGTATAGTATGAAATAGAATTTGCACTATAATTTATATATTGAATCTTATTTACCCCAATTTTGCTAAATAATTTAAAAATAACCTGTGCTTTATACGTTCTCTGTCGCAAGTTCTCCCATGTAATACCTGAAATTAATGGAAATATTTCATCATATAATTCAGTTCGTGCAGCATTATCTTCATAACCATCTACAATAAGTTGACCTACTCTATCTTCAAATACTTCAGCATAATTATACCAATTTTGAATTTTCTTTTGCTTAATTCGTTGAAGTTCCTTTTCATTACGATAAGCCATTTGGAATAATTGAGCTAAATTTTTTCTATAGAATCTTCAGCACTCTTATTTACAATATTTACAGACACATCCATATCATCGGATGAGGTTGCTGTTGTTATTTTTTGAATGAATTCGGCAATTGGTATCTTTTTATTAGAATTTTTAGCAGATACTGGATATTTTGGCAACTGTTTTGAAGATCTTTGACTCTAAAAAAAAATTTTATTAATGTTAATAAATATAATTTTTTTAGATCCGCCTTATTTTGACAATCATTTCATCAACAACTCACTTAGCTGACATCACACCAAGTAACAATTTACTAATAATATATATCTGTAGCTAATAAAATACCAATTCTAACCCTATGTGATGTTGACTAAGTAAATTTTTGGTTAATGATTGTTGGTAAAGCAAGCAGTATCGTAAATATTTTACTTTTTGTGGTTCAGATTCCAAAGAGACTAAATTAATCTCTTCTTGAGATTTAGATTCCAAAGAGACTAAATTAATCTCTTTTTGAGATTGTTCTACAGATTCAAAAGAAGGAGATTGTTTTGAAAAGGGAGAATTTGTTGAAGATGCCAAAATTGTTTCTTCACTATTAGTAAGTTGGAAGTCTTGTTCATCAATTTTTTCATCATATGCTTTTCAGGATCTTTTTGCTTGGAAATTTCTTGAATTAATATTTGATTATAATAAAATTTATTTAGTATCTTTTATAAGTTTAACTATATATAGTATAATTAATTAAATAAAATTTTCTTACTTTTGGTATTTTGATATATTTTTTTTATTTCTTTTTGGAGCTAATTTGTGAATTTCTTCGTTAAATCCTTCTAATTCTAAAGAGCCTATAAATTATAATAATTTAAAGATTTTTTGAGTTAAATTATAATAATATTTGTTGGTTTTTTCTATTTATGAGCACTTAAAATTATTTTTTTAAGTAATAATATAATTACTTGCAGTATTCTGTGATAACTTCATTAACACTCTTGCTGCTAATTCTACATTTTCATCTGTACTGATTTCTTTATCAATTTCTTCATTATTTTCACAGGGACACTCATCTTTATTAAGCATGCATGACCAATGAGAAAGATGTTTACACGTCCAAATAATAATAGGTTCATATAGATCAGACGAAATTTCCTTATTGCAGACAATACAAAAATCTTGTGCTTGATATTCACTAGGAATTTGTTCGGGCTTATCATAAAAATATAATTTGCACGCAAATTTTTTTAAATCTTCCATTATACGATAATAATTGAAAAAAAATTTAAAACATAAGCAAAATACAAGTATTATATATAAATTACAGCTTATAAAAAAAAACTAATCGAATGATATTTAGTTAAATAAGTAACAACACGAATATAAAACTATCGAATGATATATTATTAAATAAGATATGATATATATATATGATTAAACTAATGAATGATGTATATTGAAAAACTATCAAATGATATATTATTAATAAGTTACGAACAATATACATGATTAAACTAATAAATGACATATAGTTAAATAAACTATCGAATGATATATTATTAATAAGTTACAAACAATATACATAATTAGACTAATAAATGACATATAGTTAAATAAACTATCGAATGATATATAATTAAATAAGTTATGAATGATGTATATGATATAGACTAATAAATGACATATAGTTTAAATAAACTATCGAATGATATATTATTAATAAGTTACGAACAATATACATGATTAGACTAATAAATGACATATAGTTAAATAAACTATCAAATGATATATAATTAAATAAGTTACGAATGATGTATATAATATAGTTAAAATACAACATAAGTATACATTATTGGACAGATAACAAAAAATAATAGTCAATTGTTTTATTTGTCAGATGTATGTTCAATAATATTGTTATTGGATAGTTAATATGACCATGTGAAGTTTTTTCAGTGATATTTTGCAAAACTGATTACATAATTTAAGTAAAAATATTATGGCAAAAAAATTCACATGATCATATGAAATATCGAATAACTAAATTTATTGGGCAGAAAATTATAGTAAACCACCTGATAAATCTGTTATCAGGCAGTGCCTGTCAGCATAGTGGGCTTTCATTGTGATTGGCCAGTTCTTGTAAATCATCCCGTGATATAAAATTTAACTAAACTGTCATAAACAAAAGAACTAATATATATAAAAATAACTACATCTATATCAAAATTAATACCAGAAAAGTCTTTACTATGAAATCTTGATATAAAACTACAATCTTGTTACAGACAAACCAAAATTTTATTAAAAAATTAGTCCTAACACAGTTTTAACGTATTACAAATCAAAAATGAAAAAAAAATAAACCAAAAACAATCAAAAACAAATCAAAAATGAAAAGTACAAAAATAAATATTTGGACCTATTCTAGAATACTAATAGCTAATAAACAATAATCAAAACAACTTCTAGTGTTCACTTCAATATCAACTGATTTCTAATTTTATTTAATAATCGTTATAACAGTTATGATACCACTACTTCGCTTGAACTCTTCTCACGAAATCTATAAACCTATAGCTCTCAACTTTATATTCTTAGCCTATATATTATAATCAGGTTTCTTATTAGTTGGGATTATGAAGAATAAGTTTTCAAAAAATACTTAAAAGACAGCTTAAATTGCTGGGTTTAATTGATTTATTGTATCTATAAGTTAAACTTATTCATCAAACATACCTCTCATCTAACTTCCGAATTACTTCACGGATTACTGAATTACTTTGACAGTTTATAAAATAAAACATGAACTTTCTAATTTTTTTTGTCTTACCCCTAGGAATTTATATTCGTGGCTAGAAATTCAATCTTGTGATGGAAAATCATTACTTTAATAAGACCATTATGATAAGATGTTCTTTAAAAATTAGCCAATTATAATAAAGCCCGCTATGCTGTGCCTGCCTGATAACTATTTAATATTACAACACTATTATGAATAATTAAACTCATTTGATATGAATATATATACAATTTATTTTATTTTTAAATTAACATATGATTTTAAATTTATATAATTAGTATGATTTATAGATTTTAAATTAACAATACATATAAAAAATTAATGAATGATATATAATTAAATTTACCCTTAATCCAATATAACTTCAAGCAAGTTCTAGATTTATTTTTTTAAATTAAACAATGTTAGTAATAGAAAAATTATAGAATACTATGAATTATTTAAATATAATCATAGGTTAACATTTTTGCAAAACTCTACAAGTACACATAAATTTTAAAGTTAAATATTTGAGATTCTTCATACCTTTATAGTCATTAAAATGGAATTATTAAAGACTAAAGATTAATTAGCAATGAATTGTTAAGAATCTTGATCATAATTCTGCAATTGTTGAATTATAATCATTAAGATACTTAATGACCATAATTTAGCAATTGCTAAATTATAATCATTAAAAATCTTAACGATTATAATTCTGTAATTGCTGAATTATGATCATTAAGAATCTTAATGATTATAATTCTGCAATTGCTGAATCATGCAGTTAAGAATCTTAATGATCATAATTTAGCAATTGCTGAATTATGATCATTAAGAATCTTAATGATCATAATTCAGCAATTACAGAATTATGATCATTAAGAATCTTAACAATCACAATTTAGCAATTGCTGAATTATAAACATTAAGAATCTTAACAATCATAATTAATTTAGCAATTGCTGAATTATAATCATTAAGATTCTTAATGATTATAATTCAGCATTACTAAATTAAGATTGTTAAGATTCTTAATCATAATTTAGCAATTGCTGAATTATGACTGTTAAGAATCTTAACGATCATAATTTAGTAATTGCAGAATTATAATTGTTAAGATTCTAAATAGTCATGATTCAGCAATTGCAGAATTATGTTCATTAAGAATCTTAATGATCATAATTCAGCAATTGCAAAATTATGATTGTTAAGATTCTTAAAAAGCATAATTTGGCAATTCCTAAATTATAATCATTAAGATTCTTAACGGTCATAATTCAGCAATTACTAAAAGATTCTTAATGATCATAATTTAATTGCTAAATTATGGTCGTTAAGATTCTTAATGATCATCATAATTTAGCAATTGCTGAATTATGATCGTTAAGTTTCTTAATAATCATAATTTAGCAATTGCTGAATTATGATCGTTAAGATTCTTAATAATTATAATTTAGCAATTGCTGAATTATGACCATTAAGAATCTTAACAATTATAATTTAGCAATTGCTAAATTATGATCGTTAAGTATCTTGACAATCACAATTTTGCAATTGCTAAATTATGATCATTAAGATTCTTAGGTCATGATTCAGCAGTTGCTGAATTATGATTGTTAAATATCTTTAAATATTAATATATCTCAAATTATTCTGGGTTCCTAGCAATCAAATAAGTCATAAAACTTTACTACTTTTTATATTAGTTAAATTATATAATTTA